CTTCATGTCATTTCGTTTCTTTTTCAATTCTGGGGATACTTTAGATCCAGCATTTGCTGCAAGAGTTGGGGAAACCCACTTAAACCCAACTAGATCCATACACAAATTAACATAATTAAAGCTTTGACAAATGAAATTAAATAAACAGTAAATATGAGATCCATTTGAAAAAATAAACAAGAATATGAATTCAATTCAATTACTTAGGTCTTAGTAAGTAAAAAAAAATAATCATAAATGACTTCATGGGATCCATTTCATGTTTTGCTTCGATGGATTTTCAGCAACAGTTCACCAGGATCGTAGTTGGATTATTCAAAAAGACCCAGCTGGCTTCTCAGAGAAATAAACCGGGCAGATGGTAATGGCTTCGTCAATATGTCGGCTAGTTGCAGATCTGTGGGAATATACTTTACACAAATTAGTTTCTTTTCGATTTGCTCTCTTGTAAAGTGATATTTAATATCTATGTGCTTTGTTCTCTTATGGCAAGTAGGACTATTTGCAATACTTATACAACCTTGGTTGTCTTCATAAATATCAATAGGACCACTTAATTCTAGATTAATCTCATTTATTAGCGATTTTAACCAAAGAGCTTCTCTTACACCTTCAAACAAGGCCATGTATTCTGCTTCAGTAGATGAAGCAGCAACCGACTTTTGCTTCATGGTACTCCATGAAACCAAACAATTTTCAAACATTTTAAAAAGGTACCCCGTGGTACTTCTTCTGTCAGTTTCATTTCCAGCCGAATCGGAATCTACATAGCCTGTAAGAATATTATTAAAATTAGCTACCATCTTGAATCTAAGCTTGATATTAACAGTTCCCTTCAGATATCTAAGAACTCTCTTAAGGCATTGCCATTGTTCCTTATTGTTGTTGTTTGTATATCTGCTTAGAGTACTTATTGAAGTACTTAAGTCGGGCCGTGTACATAACATTATGTACATCACACAACCAATTAAATTTCTACACGGTGCATCACATAATTCTTCTGATTGCAGAGCTGTATAGTCTAACTTACTTGGGAGGGGAGTACTAACTGAATTACACTCTTCCATATTAAATTTTTTCAATACATTTTTAATATATGCTGACTGACTAAGACAAATCTCTCCATTAGTTCTATCAATTTTTATGCCAATAAAGTGTCTAATTTCACGTAAATCGGTCATTTAAAACTTGTCATGAAGGTAAGATTTAAAATTGGACATTGTATCAGATTTGTTTGTAGCAATTACTACATCGTCCACACATAACAAGACATATATATTTCTCGAAATATCTCCCTTATCCAAAATATAAATACACCGATCAACTCCTAAGTTTTTAAGTCCAACATCCTTCAACACACTTTCAAAAACTTCGAACCAACATCTAGCAGCTTGCTTAAGACCATATATAGCTAAATTAAGTTTACATACTTTATTTTCATAAGAGTGATTCAGGCCTTTTGGAACGCTCATGTAGATTTCATCCTTTAGAGTTCCGTTTAAAAAGGCAGTTTTTACGTCCATATGATGAACCATTAAATCGTATTGATTTGAAAGTGCCAACAAAAATCTAAAACTGGAAATTCGTGCAACTGGTGCAAATGTCTCATCGTAATCAGTCATATATTCTTGAGTGAAGCCCCGCGCTACAAGTCTTGCTTTGTACTTTACTAAGTTCCCAAATTCATCTTGTTTTATACTAAATACCCATCTGCAATCAACTATGTTTTTATTTTCTGGCTTATGCACTAGGGACCAAGTATTATTTTGAAAATGAGAATTAAGTTCATCTTGTATAGCTTTCTCCCAGAAAGATCTGTCCTCACGAAACTTAATTTCATCAAAGGTATTAAGAATATCATTTAAGCATATTTGAGTATTCATGAGACATCTTTCTAAAAATCGATATGATAATTTGGGTCTACTTTTAATTCTTTCACTGCGTCTGATTTCTTCTTCACTTTTATTTTCTTTTAATTTATCACCAGCTTTAACAACTGGATCGGCATTCTCTAGACATGTGGAATTTTCATTGAGTTGTTCACTTATCTCAGAATCAACAGATTCATTATTTTCTATCAAAGGAAAAACCAACTCTTCATTTCCTTTACTTAAAGATTCATTATTTTGTTCAACAGTATTACTTTGAACCTCAGAATCTTCCCCATGTAAAACTCTTGATTTTAACATGTTTATTTCATCCACCACAACATCTCTTGCTGTCATAAATTTCCTCGATTCCTCAGACCACAACTTATAACCATTTGGTTCATATCCAACAAGTATAGCTTTAATTGACTTTTCGTCAAACTTTCTTTTTCGTATTTTATTCAAAGCATATACCTTCGAACCAAATATTTTAAGATATTTCAATGTTGGCTTTTTGTTATGCCACATCTCAAATGGTGTTTTATTAATCTTTTGCAATGCTCTACTTGGGGATCTGTTAATTAAATAGGTTGCTGTTAAAACAGCCTCACCCCAAAAATGCTTACTGAGCTTAGCACAACTGATCATAGATCGAGCCTTTTCGGTGATTGTTCGAATCATCCGTTCTGATACACCATTCAATTGTGGAGTATGAGGAACCGTTAAATGATAGCTGATGCCTTTTTCGACACAGAAATCACGCATTTCGTTAGAAAGATATTCCCTTCCATTATCGATATACAAATTCACAATTTTTAAATTGAAGTGAGCCTCGCTCTTCGCTACGAAGTCTTTGAAAACAAAAAACACATCCGACTTATAGGTTATTAAATAGGTCACACAGTAATGTGTATACTGATCAATAAAGACTACATAGTAGTTCTTATCATCAATGGTAGAGGGTGTTATTGGACCACAGACATCGGAATGGACAACAAACAATGGTCGTGTAATATTTTCTTTATTTTTAAATTTTTGAAACTTTAATCTAGCTTGCTTGCCATTTATACAAACCTCGCATAATTCATGGTTTAAATCAATATTGTTTAATATATTAGTATCTTCAAAAAGACTATTTCGTTTTATTTTAAAAATTTTCCTACACTTATGTGGCCTAATCTTTCATGCCATAATCGATACTCAGCACTATTAGAAATTTTAGTCGTAAATATTTTACTGTTCAATTGAAATTTTATAATAGGTACATTGTACTCACATATTCCATTAAAGGCCAATTTACCATTTTTAGATACTTTTACACCTTCAGGGTTAAATTCGATGGTCATGCCTGCATCCTGCATCTTCTTTACCGATAGTAGGTTGTGTGGAATATCCTTACAATACAAAACGTTTTGCAAGGTGATTTTGTTTCCGCAGCTGTTAAGATTGACCACTCCTTTGGCTGTAGCGTATATAAACTCTCCGCGTTTGGCAATCTCGATGGCCACATTTGATTGCAAACACTCATATTCGGAGAACAATGCTGTGTCATTTATAAGGTGGTCCGATGCTTCTGAGTCTAGGATAAACTCAGCCTCGCTTGACTTTGAATTGGAAGTTGCATTTCTCAACATGAAGGCAAAACTACGCTCTGCTTGGGCTGTTGCTGCTGTTGCCATCTGAGCCTGCCCATCTTTTCTTTTATTTTCACTAAAGTTCTGATTCGGCTGCCTTTTCAAAAGGAAACAATCTTTCTTTAAATGACCTGGCTTACCGCAATGAAAACATTTTGGTTTCGGTTTGAAACTTGGCTTAAACTGAATCTTCTTGAACTTCTGCATTGGATTATTTTTAAATTTCATATCTTTTAACTCCTTTTTACTTACTGCTTGCAAAACTTTAACACTCGTATCCTTGCTTATATTCCTAAGCTTAATCTCTTGGTCAAGAAGTCGTGTTTTTACAAAAGCTAATGTTAAGTTACTTTCAGATAGAGTCTCTATTGCGGTTATAACTCCATCATAACTGGGTGGAAGAGTTAGGAGTAAATGGGAAATTTTATCCATATCATCTAACTTTGCTCCTGACGCGATAAGTTCAGTAATGAGATCATCGAAGAAATTAAAATGATTAAGGAGTGAAGTGTCACCTTTTAATTTCATGGCTAAAAGTTTCTTTCGCAGAGATAGTTGCGATGCCAAGCTTCTTCTCTCATAAATTGCATCTAAGTTTGCAAAAATCTGCTTAGCAGTGCTTTCACTGTTAGCGTAAGATAAGAAAGCATCACTTAAATATTCAATTATTAAACTTTTTGCATTTCGTTCTGCCTTTTTTATCTCATCAGTCACTTCTGCATGAGTTTCATCTATGACCCTCAAAAGATCGTACTCTTCTGACAGCGCTCTCACTCTGAACTTCCATATTGAATATTTTTCACCGTCAAACGGTTTGATATTTCTTTTCCCTTTATCCATTGTATGGTTCTCTATCAAAAAACAGCAAAAACAGCACCCCAACAACTACCTCCTCAGCAACACCAACAGCAACCCTTCACAGCAATGTTTAGCAACAGCGGCCAGCAACTTTCAACAGCATTAACGTCGCTCAACACTGTCCAGCAACAATGTCTTTCAGCAGCAGCACTGTCTGGCAACACTGTCCCTTCGCAACGTGGAGATTTGCGGCACATTTGTCGAAGCGTTTGTATGTGTGCGTTCAGGAAAGATTTCTCGGCGAATTCGTAAGTGTGTTCTAGAAAGATCACGGCGAATTAGTGATATGTATGCGCTTCTCCCTGGAAATAGAAAAATGTTTTGCCACGAATTTGTCGCAGCGTTATACACAAAGCTAATTTAATCCTCTTTATTGTTCAGGAATTCCTTTTTGTTCTTCATGGACCACTCCGCACGCATGTACATATATGTACATACATATGTAGATGCGCATATTCGAATGCACACACACACATATAATTAGTTCACTTTTATGCACTTTCAAATTGTAACAATTAAAGCACTATTATTTATTCACTGCAATTGTGTCAGGCCCATAACCTATGGTTTTGTTAATGAATAGATGTAATACAATAGTATTAAACAGACAACCTCCCAATGAACAAATAATAATGCAAGCTTAGATTGTGTGAACCGCACGCTCTCAACGCCAGAATCGAAGTGAACGAGAATATCAAGAGAGAAAAAGAACAACGAGAAGATAGGAAAAAGAAGCACGATAGTCCCGTTTCCTTAGGCGGTTGCCTAGGTAACCAAGACATCGGAATGTGCGTCTACCTCTCGTACACATACATTCATGCAAACATGAATTGCACAATTATCCATGTGACTTTTGTATGTTTGAACATGTAAGCTCCAACAGAATTACATTGTTTTGATATAAAAATTGTCATTTATATTGTATATGGTAAATCGACATTTTTTATATAATGAATTGCGGTTCATTAATAGGTATGACTTATAAGTTAAATCCGGGGAAAGATCCGAAATGAAATTGCTTGTCAAACTCTTGGCATTTAGAAAGTTCCAAATGCTTTTGCCTTTTGTTGGCTACAATAAAATCGTCTTCCTCTATTATTTCAGAGTCACCACGTTTTCTATAAAGGGGCTCGTTGGTAGAGCCATCCATATAGTCATCCTTATCATTGCACTGGTAAACCATGTAATTGTTCTTAATATACTTGTTTGATCTTAAAATACAAAAGGTCGATTATATTTAGACATGGTAATATTTGATGGATACTCACAGCCTTAGCAAATAAGGATCAAATGGGAAAAACGATTCCAGCGTCTCCTCGGGCATACATTTGTCATGGCCGTATATGTGGCTAGTTTTCGCCGAGCGTTGCGCTTCAAAACAGTATGGCAGTAGGCAAGCTGTTAAGTTCTCGTAACACCAAATGCTGTAGCCCCTGTGGCTAGACAATATCGCACAGGATTTAAATGACACATAGCGAGGCGAGATAGTTGAAGGGACTGAAGGAAGAGCACATTTAAAAAAGATTTTAAAAAATTACAATCAAAAATTTTACCCACTAAATCTAAAGCTGTAAAAAAAAAGCTTTCAAGCAATCTTTGAAAAATCACTAAAAACCAATTTGGTCATGTCTTATCTGAGAAAAATCTTTGCTTCACAACACTGATGGAAAAACAATTGATTTACACAAACCCATGCCCAACACATCACCTACCCACCTCCCCTCCCAAATCAACATCTCACTTCGAACCGGTTCTAACTATAGCCTTACCCGGGCATTGCGGATCTCTGCGCGGTTCTTTCTCCTTCTCCACAACTCGTGGGACCAATTATGGACAACAAAACTAACTTAAAAAAAAAACAAAAAACCTACGGAAATGCTGAACACTGGTTCCAACATCCGCACAAGCACGGTCCTGAAAGGCCCGCATCCCGAACTGGAGATGTCGGGTGGCAGAAAGGCAGGCGCAAATGCCTCCGCCACGGGCGCTTCTGCGCCTAAAACAGTGGTAAGGATAGCCAAGGCGCTCGGGCCACCCGCTGGCGCAAATAAATACACATACGCGGAAAGGCGGACTGACGCCCAGACTCTGCGCTCTCATGCTAGGAGCAACATTGCCACCCCTTCGCCTGAATGGCTGAAAAAGATAGAATGGGCAAGGAAGGGAAAAGGAAGCGATGCCTAGATCTACACGGACCATCGGCGATAACGTGATGCTTGGGCCGGCTCCGTCGTGGTATGTTGCTTCCAGCTCGGCCCAGATGTCGACGAGTTGTAGGTCGTTCTCCGTTTTGAGTAGTATTCCGACAGAGCCTTCCTCATGTCGTCTAGCATGCCCTCCAGGGCGACATTAAGCCTCTGTGCGACATGGGCGAAGTCCTCCTTCTTATGGCGGTAAATCCACTTGTTTCCCATTTTTATTGTGTCGGTCTTACTGTTGGGACAATCACGTTGGGCGTCAGATGTAACGAACTGATTTTTGTTGGTATGCTCGTAACTAGTTTCGTGCGGCTACCTCAAAAGATTGTGCGTTTGACCCACCAAGTTTATATGACGTGACTTTCCCGTACATCAGTGAGAAAACACAGGGTTCGAATGGTAACAGTGGGTTTCATTCTCGTGTTATTAATGCAACCGGAGTGTGGCTGGGCTGGTCTCGATATCTCCTTGCTCTGGTTCCACAGGCTGCTGATGTTTCTCGTCCTGGCCTGTCGACGCGTTGACTTGATGACCGCTGGCTCCTGTGTCTCGGGATGCTCGTAGTGGCCGCCTCTGCTCGCTTGCCGACGCGCTGCCTCGGGGTCGCTTGTCGCGCCTTGCGGGCTTAGGGAAGCGTCACCGTTCTCAGACTAGGGTGAGCAAGCCTTGCTCTCCAGGCCAACGCCTTTAGAGGCAATACCTGTCCCTTGCTCTGTCCCGGACGGTCCCGCTAGGTTCGTGCTCAGATCGCGCAGACAGTCAAGGTTAACGCCAGGAAGCTGCCTAGCAGTTCACTTTGCTTTACGCCTAGCGCAGGCGAAAGTTACACCCGGCTTCACCCTAATGCTTGACGTCCGCGACGCTCCTGCGCTCCCCAATGAGTTCCGCGCGGCGATGGTAACGTGGCTGCCGGTGATGTCTGCTGGCGTCGATGCCGATGTCCTCTGCGCAGCTTCCTGTCTTGCCGCTGGGCTTCTCCAGGATAACGCCTCTTGAATGCCTCAACGGGTCGTTTGCTCGCCCTTCCTGACTAGTAGCTTGGCGTTTCTGGCACTCGAGGCTTTGGGCTGTTGCCAGGTCCTGCTTGGTTGGGCAAGGTACAATGGGTCTTAGACAACTTTCCTCCCCGAGCTCACGATTCCTCGTCGCAGGCCTCTTTCGCTTGACTCTGACAGACCCGCCGGGCGATTCGCCAACGTGTGTGGCCTTGACTTAGCCGTATGGTGCCTTCCGGACCTCAGCCACTTGTGTCTCAATTCGGAAATTCCTGATGTCCCAATCCCGAACGTCTCGACGTGGCGATGCTCCCGGCCATCTGTTGCTGCTGTTGCTAAGATTTGTGGGGAGTTATTCAACTCCTCACATTAATAATAAAAAAATCGCATTTAATTTATTCAGTGAGCGTGGCTCCGCGCTGAAACCAACTTGCGCTGCGAAGAAAGAACCTACACGCCAAATCCCAAGATTTTACGGACAAACGGACATGGCTAGATCGACTCGGCCAGTGATGTTGCTCAAGAAAATCTATACTTTATGGGGTCGAAATCGCTTCCTTCTACCTGTTACATACTTTACAACGAATCTAGTATACCCTCTTACTCTACGAGTAACGGGCATAACAAAAGGGCACTAACAATATAAATAATTTTAAAAAATATAAAATAAAAAAACAGTATTTTAATCTATCTGTAGTTTTTATATGAGCTAAAAAAAAACAAAAAAGGAAGCTAACTTCGGCAAGCCAAAGTTTACATCCCATATAGGTTGTTCCTTTGCGTTATCGGGAAATTTTCTGGTCAAGACATTTTTTAATAGTCGTTAAAACAAAAGTGTGTTTTTTGGAATACTTTAACCAATATTCAATGTAATGCTTAAGAAATTTTTAGAGAAGCAGCTGTTGTATCAGCTGTAAAAAGATTAATTCTCAAGCTCTCAAAAATCGACGTAAGGCTAAAACTTTTAAATTTAAAAAAGTGAGAATTTTAAAGCATTTTAGTGGAGTGAAGTTAGAATAAATTTAAAGGATGGTGGTGTGCACTAAGTGTTTATAGAAACATTGAAATCGTTTTGTTCTTGTAATCGAGAGTTAAAGTGAGCGGTCTAACACGAATGTTTTTTAAAAAACTATTTTTTAAGTTGAGATAAAAAGCGAAATCATTTTTCATTATAATTTCGATTGTAAACTCAAATTTGAAAGTACCCCTTTCTTTGCACTGGTGGCCTAAGATGTGAAGTAGACTTTTATTTAAAATGACTGTTAAGGTAAGCCGAAAGCACCTAGCGCTAACATTGACCAATTTAATCGAACTTTAGCTGTTGTAAAAGAAAAATATCGCTAAAAAAAATGATAGAAATGTGAAGTAACTCTAAACATTTTTGGTTTCTATGACAACTTTCAGATATATTCTTCTGATTTATTCCAAATTTGTAATATTGTTTTAATATCATATTAAAACGGTACTTTCAAAGTTGTATGCAATTATCTCTGAAAGCTTTATGATAAATTATAAGATCCGCAGGATTTTTTTATATAATCTGCGTTGTGATTAAACACAACGACTTTGCCGGCCTCTTTCGCTTGACTCTGACAGACCCGCCGGGCGATTCGCCAGCGTGTGTGGCCTTGACTTTGCCGTATGGTGCCTTCCGGACCTCAGCCACTTGTGTCTCAATTCGGAGATTCCTGGTGTCCCAATACCGAACGTCTCGACGTGGCGATGCTCCAGGCCATCTGTTGCTGCTGTTGCAAAGATTTGTGAGGAGTTGTTCAACTCCTCACATTAATAATAACAAAATCTCATTTAATTTATACGGGTTTTAGCGTTATGGGCTATTCAGTGAGCGTGGCTCCGCGCTGAAACAAACTTGCGCTGCGAAGAAAGAACCTACACGCCAAATCCCAACATTTCACGGACAAACGGACATGGCTAGATCGACTCGGCCAGTGATGTTGATCAAGAAAATCTATACTTTATGGTTGGTTACCTGTTACATACTTTACAACGAATCTAGAATACCCTTTTACTCTACGAGTAACGGGCATAATAAATGGGCACTGAAAACGGGAACGAAAATAAAAAACAGTATTTTAATCTATCTGTAGTTTTAATATGAGCTAAGACCATTTAAAAATACTAAAAAAACAAGAAAAAAAGTTAGCTTCGGCAAGCCGAAGCTTATTACCCTTACAGCTATAATTATTAAGTTTAAAAACACAAAAAATGATATTCCCAATAGTATAACATAATATGTTAAAAAACACCGAAGCTATAATTTGTTTCATGTTATTTTCCTACCAATTTTCCGATCGTTCCTATGGCAGCTATATGAAAATAATAATAAATTCGAAACTCAGAACTAATTAAAAAATGTTATTTCCAAGCGGTGGAGGTTATATGTTGAAAAACACCGAAGCTATAATTTGTTTCATATTATTTTCCCACCAATTTTCCGATCGTTCCTATGGCAGCTATATGATATAGTCGTCCGATTTCGATAAAATTTAATTCAAAATTCAAAACTAATTAAAAAATGTTATTTCCAAGATTAGGAGGTTATATGCTAAAAAAACACCAAAGATATAATTTTTTTAATTTTGTTGTCCGATTATTCCTATGGGAGCTATAAGATATAGTTGTCCGATCCGGCTGGTTCCGACTTATATACTACCTGCAAAAGATATAAGACTTTTGGGAAAGTTTCAGCCCGATAGCTTTAAAACTGAGAGACTAGTTTGCGTAGAAACGGACGGACAGACGGACAGACGGACATGGCTAGATCGACTCGTCTAGTGATGCTGATCAAGAATATATATACTTTATGGGGTCGGAAACGTCTCCTTCACTGCGTTGCAAACTTCTGACTGAAATCAATATACCCTCTGCAAGGCTATAACAAGAAAGGAAGCTATCTTCGGCAAGCCAAAGTTTACATTCCCATATAGGTTGTTTCTTTGCGTTATCGGGAAATTTTCTGGTCAGGACATTTTTCAATAGTCGTTAAAGCAAAAGTGTGTTTTTTGGAATACTTTAACCAATATTCAATGTTATGCTTGAGAAGATTCATTCTCAGGCTCTCAAAAATCGACGTAAGGCTAAAACTTTTAAATTTCAAAAAGTGAAAATTTTCAAGCATTTAAAGTGGAGTGAAGTACGAATGAATTTAAAGGATGGTGGTGTTGTTGTTCTTGTAATCGAGAGTTAAAGTGAGCGGTCTAACACGAGTGCTTTTTGAAAAACCATTTTTTAAGTTGAGATAAAAAGCGAGTTAATTTCTCATTATAAAAACCGGTTTCCGATTCTATTAGAAAATTAATTTTTTCGATTGTAATCTCAAATTTGAAAGTACCCCTTTCTTTGCACTGTTGGCCTAAGATGTGAAGTAGACTTTTATTTAAAATGACTGTTAAGGTAAGCCGAAAACACCTAGCGCTAACATTGACCAATTTAACCGAACTTTAGCTGTTGTAAAAGAAAAACATCGCTAAAAAAATGATAGAAATGTGAAGTAAACTCTAAACATTTTTGGTTTCTATGACAACTTTAAGATATATTCTTCTGATTTATTCCAAATTTGTAATATTGTTTTAATATCATAATAAAACGGTACTTTCAAAGTTGTATGCAATTATCTCTGAAAAAAGCCAAGTTGATCTGATCACTTCTATGAAAGCTTTATGATAAATTGTAAGATCCGCAGGATTTTTTTATATCATATGCGTTGTGATTAAACACAACGACTTTGCCGAGTTGTAGCTCACAATATACTCAATGTACGCTACTCATTTACTCGGGAAAATTAAAGGGTGACATTATAGTTGTAAGCTTAAACATACATTATCTTAATTGGTCAGGCGCATCTCAAGATATTATAAAAAAATGTCTTTAAAAAAAATTAATCCATTTAAAAAGTGTAGGTCTTCTTTTTTGCGATCTTGGTGTCCAACTCAACCAGGAACTACCATCATTCTTCTTGCGGCATTCGGGCTGTAATCTACTGTTATCAAAACAGAAACTAAGTTAAGTTTTTCGATTAATTTGCAAACGTTTCTTATATTTTCACAATCAAGATTAGAATTACATTTTTTTGATATAAAAAATTTAATTTATATTGTATATGGTAAATCGAAATTTTTATATAATGAATGGCGGTTCATTAATAAGTATGACTTATAAGTTAAGTCCGGGGAAAGATCCGAAATGAAATTGTTTGTCAAACTCTTGGCATTTAGAAAGTTCCAAATGCTTTTGCCTTTTGTCGGCTACAATAAAATCGTCTTCCTCTATTATTTCAGAGTCACCACGTTTTCTAGAAAGGGGCTCGTTGGTAGAGCCATCCATGTAGTCATCCTTATTATTGCACTGGTAAACCATGTAATTGTTCTTAATATACTTGTTTGATCTTAAAATACAAAAGGTCGATTATATTTAGACATGGTAATATTTGATGGATACTCACAGCTTTAGCAAATAAGGATCAAATGGGAAAAACGATTCCAGCGTCTCCTCGGGCATACATTTGTCGTGGCCGTATACTGTGGCTAGTTTTCGCCGAGCGTTGCGCTCCAAAACAGTATGGCAGTAGGCAAGCTGGTAAGTTCTCGTAACACCAGCAAATGCTGTAGCCACTGGGGCTAGACAATATCGCAGAGGATTTAAATGACACATAGCGAGGCGAGATAGTTGAAGGGACTGAAGGAAGAGCAAATCTAAAAAAGATTTGAAAAAATTACAGTCAAAAAATTTACCCACTAAATCTTAAGCTGTAAAAAAAAGCTTAAAACAATCTTTGAAAAATCACTAAAAACCAATTTGGTCATCTTTCATCTGAGAAAAATCTTTGTTTCACAACACTGATGGAAAAATAAGTTGACAAATGAGAGTTCCAACAAGAACTATCGCATAATCCCTGAACAACCAGAAAAACTCAGACTGGCAATTATAATTATTAGAAATGTAATTTCTAAAACTCAAGGCTAGCTGCCTGTGCCACCAAATGCATTGCGGTTTTCTAGGTTGCAAACCTGTGCATTAAAAAAAACGCAATTTAATTAAAATTGTATTTTTTAATTCAGGAAAAATCGAAATCAAAGCAAATTTATGGGCGATTTTCTTTGAGTGTATTGTCTGAAAAATGTTGCAGCGCTCAACGCCAACAAACCGCCAAAATCGTTTATATTCCACATTTTTTACAAGACGCGAACGAACACGTCATTGAGGAAGAACTTCTTCTATACACAGTTTCGATAAAAAAAAGAATACCATGCATTGCAATGGTGGGAGAAATGAATGGAATGCGAATTGAGTTTCACAAAATAACAAATCAAATTTCTTTTTTGTTTATCATAATAAAAAAACAATTTTTTAAGTTTCAGCCAGCAGTGCGTCGACGGAAAAGGCGTTCTCACACGCTCGACAGCTTTTTTCGGGAAAGGGGTCCGCAATTTTACCTTCAAGCAACATACTTAAAATATTGATGTAATGTATATTTTGGTATTTAAAATTTTTTTTGATAATTATAATTTAATACTTGGACCAACTTTGCTCATTCATTAGAGCTACAGGACAAATGGAGTAAAATATAAGAACTTATTTAATGCATTTTTTTGCCACTCCATGGGGAAAAATGTACAACATCACCAAATAGAATTGAGATAACTTTATTTCCATATAAACTCTGACTTTACACTTTTTTTTAGCCAAGAACCAATTATAGAAACAAATGGAAACAATTTATAAAATTGTGTTGTCGTGCCGACAATTTTACACATGCTTATTCTTTTGCGATATATATCGATAGCAGGACTCATAAGTTTGAGGTGGATTGGTGGTTTTATGAACCACCAATACATTTTGTTTGATTTCATGCATTTTTCTTCCTACGAATTATTGCAGCACCTTTCTAAGAATAACGCTTCTACTTTTTGTTTCAAACAATGGCTCGTGCAAGGCTCTAGCACATATTTTATGTGAAACGAAAGTTTGTCACGCCCACAAAGTGCAAAAGTTCACATTTTTGAAGAATTTTTTATTTACGCAAGCACGGTCCTGAAAGGGCCGCATCCCGAACTAGGGATGTCGGGTGGCAGAGAGCAAGGCGCAAATGGCTCAGCGACGGGCGCTTCTGCGCCTAAAACAGTGGTAAGGATAGCCAAGGCGATCGGGCCACCCGCTGGCGCAAATAAATACACATACGCGGAAAGGCGGACTGACGCCCAGACTCTGCGCTCTCATGCTAGGAGCAACATTGCCACCCCTTCGCCTGAATGGCTGAAAAAGGTAGAATGGGCAAGGAAGGTGCTTCCTAACTACGGGCAGGATACCCAGAAATAAGTGGAAGGCAGTGGAGTCCCAGCTTTCCCTCATTTCCGAGAAATGACAGGTTCATCGCCCTGCTGTATGGAAGCGGGCTGGTACCAGGGCAGTGTCAAAGTGGTGGACTGTGATAGTCAGCGGTCTGCTGACCTATAAAAGCAGGCGACGAGCAAGCTCGGCGAGGTCTACGAAGGGCCGAACATTGTAGGGCCCCGATCTTGGATTTGGCTCCCAGTGGCGATTAAGGCGCTCTACATGCTGCAGGAACGCAACCCGCACCTCTCATGAAAGACTGGAAAGTCGTCAAAGTGGAGGAGCATGAAGGGAATGTTAACCAGGCGGTGTTGGTCGTAAATAAGGAGTCGGTTGCTCCAATCGAGGCTGCTCGAGGAGTGCTGAACTTCGGTTTTAGTGCCATACACATCAATATATACAAGGGCGACTCCAACGCCGCTGTAAGCTCTGCCGGCAGCCCAGCCGAACAGGTGCTTGCTGAGGAGTTGGAGGCACCTGGTGGGCCGATTCCTCGCTGAGCAGAGATGCGAGCGCTTGGACCGGCAATCGAGGACGTGGACCTGAGTGATACAGAGGAGGCCGATGTCACTGCGGTGGAGGTTGCAGCTGTAGATGTCAATAAGACTTCTGCAAATCAACCTACACCACAGTAAAGTAGCGTCTGCTGCACTATTGCTTTCCCTCACCAAAGGTGGAGCCGAACTGGTCATGGTACAGGAATCTTGGGTAGTAGGAGGCAAGGTTGCTGGACTAGTAACAAAGGAATACAAGCTTATGCTTGACCACAAAGAAGGTCAAATTCGAACCTGAATATTAGCCAGAAGGCATCTTAGTATATTTCTGTTTCACAATTACAGCAGCGGAGACAACACCGCAGTAAGCCTGAAGCTGCAAAGTGGCTTTATACGGGTCCTATTGGCCTATTTGAAAAGGAAAATCCCCCAGATGCGCTGGTCAGAGGACTGGCAGAGGAATGCGAAAAGCTCAAGAAAGGATTAATAATAGGCTATGACGCCAACGGCCATCACACCCAGTGGGGTTTCCCAAAAAATAACGATAGAGGTGAGTCTTTATTTGATTTTATTCTAAATTCGATCCTATTTTAATGCAACAGGAGCAATGTCGTACCTTTAACTAAAACCTGCCAAACGATCATAGATCTAACGTTGGTATCAGATTCACTTGTAAACGCAGTCAAAAACTGGGCAGTCTCTGACGAGCACTCCATTTCGGACCATAGATTCATAGAAACCGTATTGTCCCTTGATTCGCCCTTGCCTGTCAGCTTCGCTAACGCTAGACGACGACTGGCACACGTATAAAGAAGTTCTGACGAATATCCTCCCCATGGAACTATCAGAAAGCACCACAGGAGCTGGACAGAACAGTAAATAAATTCACAGAAGCATGAAACACTGCCTTCAAAGTTGCATGCCCCACAGGGAAACCAAGGGGAAGGAAAAAACCCCCCGACTGATGCCGCAAGGCTCAGGAAAATACTCTCTAAGACAGCCGCGCATTTGGGCAGTCTATAGAAGGCAAATGGATCATGGTCAGACTCCAGTAGAGTCCTTGGACCTGCTCCTAGACGCTCACTTTTCAGGAAGCCAACAAACAGGTCACACGCCAGAAAAGGAATCAAATTAGATGTCCGAGTTTTGAACCGCCGGGACCGGACGGGATAAGACCGGCACACATCCAACAAGCAGGACAATTAGCAATACACTGGTTGAAAAAAATCTTCCGCTCCATCCTGGCGGTAGGAGAACTACCAAAAGCATAGCAAGAAACGAAGGTGGTTTTCATTCCCAAGGCAGGGAAGGCCACTCACACCACAGCAAAGGATTTTAGTCCAATAAGCCTAACATCATTCCTGCTTAAGAGCCTTGAAAGAATGATAAGCCTACACATAAGGGCCACTATCGACCCGACACAAATATCAGAGGCACAACACGCAAGGGTAAGTCAACCGAATCGGCGCTACACTTGGTGGTAAGCAGCATCGAGAAGTCACTCAGCATCAAGGAATACACACTGATCGCCTTCCTGGACATAGAGGGAGCCTTCAATAACGTGCTTCCCATTACTATAACAGAATCTCTCACAGAGCTAGGGATTGAGCCGCCAATGGTGGGGTTGACCCATAAACTGCTGATAAGCAGAATGGTCACAGCCACACTAGGGACCTCAACCCAGACTAGACTAGTGAACAGAGGCACCCCGCAAGGAGGTGTACTATCACCCCTCCTGTGGAATATCGCAGTAAATAAACTACTGCGGGTTCTGGAAGGAGGAGGTTGTAAGGTAGTGGCATACGCAGATGACGTCGCCATCATCTTTAATGGAAAATATCCACAAACACTTTGCGATCTTATGACCGCTAAACTAAAAATACTATCAGAATGAACGATAGAGAACGGACTTGGGGTAAGTCCCTCAAAAACGGAACTTGTTCTTTTTACAAATAGGTACAAAATTCCACAACTCAACCTACTTATTCTAAACAATTGTAATCTCTCTTTTAGCGATCACGCCAGATAATTGGGATTAGTATTAGATAAGCGGCTCAAATGGGGCTTAAATAACCAAGAGAGAAACAAGAAAGCGACAATTGCACTTTACTCCTGTAAAAAAGCCATTGGGGTAAGATGGGACATGTCCCCTAGAATAGTCAACTGGATATACACAGCGGTAGTCAAGCCAATCCCATTATACACAAACAATGCCTATTGACTCCCCTAAACAAAGAACAGCGAATGGCGGCTTTGTGTATTAGTCGAGCCCTTCGAACTACCCCGAATGAAGCGCTGAATGCGATCTTTAACCTCCCTAGTCTGAACTTAGCAGGCATGGAAAGAGCCAAATCGACAGCTATTCGACTGAGGGATACCGGGCAGTGGATATCCCAATTTTATGGTCACGCTAAAATTCTCAAGCGTGATAAATCGACTCTGAAGAAAACGGATCTATGCAAATCTCTGGAATATAGTCACACATCCTTTTAGGCCCTGGTTATATATTGTATATTGTTGAACGTTGATGCACTAAGAGCAGTACAAACAAGTGGCCCAAACGACACCAAGCACGTGCTTGTTACGCGCGGTCCCATTTTTATTTCGGGCGAATACGGTTCGCGAGGAAGGTACATAGAACAAATAAAGACAGGACAAAACATAGATCGACAAGACTAAAGCAAAGCTAAGAGTGCAGTTTTTAATACAGGGATAAAAGTTGAGGAACAAATTAAATGATATAGTTTGTAATAATTATTAGAAAGAATTGGCAAGTTGATAGGATAGTAGTTTCGCATTAGTCTAACAGGAACATTGAAAGTTAGGCGGCTTACCAAATCTACAGAATCAATATCGCCTCTGACAAGATTGTTCATAAAAATAGTACCAAGCATAGTTCTACGGTTTACTAGAATAGGCAAATTAATTAATAGCAATCTACTCGAGTAAGAAGGCAACCTGACGTTTTGATCCCAATTTAAACCACGTAAGGCAAAAAGAAGAAATTGTTTCTGTACGGACTCTCAATGTGCACTTGATACTGAGGACTCCAAACGGAAGAGGAAATTAGGACGGACAAGGGAGGTAAATAATAATTTGGTAGTGTATAGGTCATCAAATTCTTTAGACCAACGCCTTATAAACCCAAGAACACTCATAGCTTTATTTACAGTAGAGGTTATGTGGGAGTCAAACTTAAGTTTAGGATCTAGGAGAACACCTAAATCGTTTACTGGGTACATTCGGTCCAGGGACATGTTCTGAAGAGAGTAACCCAATATTATTATATGATAAACAAAGCTTAACATCATCAGCATACATTAATACACGAGAGTGAGTTACGATAGAGGGAAGATCATTTATAAACAGAGTAAACAGCAAAGGACCTAAATGACTGCCCTGAGGCACTCCAGATGTCGCGTTGATCATCTTGGAAACAGCGTTTTTGAATAAAACTTTCTGAGATCTACCATTCAAACAACTTGAAATCCAAGTTAACAGATTATTCGTAGACCCGAGCTGATCTAATTTGAATAAAAAAAGAGAGTGGTTTACAGAGTCAATGGCTTTACTAAAATCTTTATATATAACGTCTGTCTGCCATTTTTTGTTAAATCCATCTGTTACAAAAGATGTCAATTCGAGCAGGTTAGTGGTGGTCGATCTACGCTTAACAAAACCATGTTGACACGGCGATATTAAAGAGGAGCACAAATGTTGCAACTGAGAGGTAATATGGCGTGCAAATGTTTTATGAATTGCAGACAATTTGGTGATTCCTTTATAGTTCGTGCAGATTTCTGAGCTTCTTACGCAACGCAAGTTTGTTTCAGCAAAGTGCCACGCCCACTCTAACGCCCACAAACCGCCCAAAACTGTGGCTCTTACAGTTTTGTTGCTAGAATAAAAATTTTGACTGAAATGTATTGTTCTCATCAGTACCTATCGATTGACCCAAAAAAAAGTTTGCCACGGCAACTTTAACGCCCACAAACCGCCCAAGCCTGTGACGCCCACAATTTTCATGCTAGATAAAAAATTTTAACTGAAATGTATTGGTCTCGTCAATACCTATCGATTGATCCAAAAAAAATTCTACCGCCGGTATGTGACGCATTTTAATCTCGCTTTGCTGCTGGCTTATCTCCATTTCCCTTTGGTCCCATTAGCTGACAGACAGACGGACAGACGGGCATAGCTAGATCGACTCGGCTAGTGATCCTGATTAAGAATATATATACCTTATGGGGCCGGAAACGCTTCCTTCTGCCTGTTACATACTTTCCCACGAATCTAGTATACCCTTTTAATCTACGAGTAACGGGTATAAAAAATGATGCACCGTTAGCGTGTAAAGTTCGTAATAATCAACCATAATTAACATCTCGACAAATGTGATTAACTCTATAAAAAGCTAAATTAACATCGGCTGTGTAGTGTATATCTAAAAATAAACCAGTTAACATTTGAATAATTAAACATACTCCAAGAAAAAAACCAAAATTTCATCATCTTGAAATATTAATTGGAGCTGGTAAGTCTACTAAAGCGTTATTAGCAATTTTAAATAAAGGGTGGGAAGTTTGTAAAGGCTTTATAGTCGTTTTGTCAGTAATAAAAGATAAAATTAAGATAATAAATAAAATTAACACAGAAAATAAAGTAAGTTTAATAGATAAATTAAATATTTCATTTGAAGCTAAAAAAATTAAAAATAAAATATATGAGTATCAAAAACTTTTAGTTATTAAACCTGAAATTAAACAAACAAAAATTGTTTGAATTAATAAAGTTAAACCTAAAGCTAATGGGTGGATACTCAAAAAAATAATAGAAGTAGTAATAATTAAAGAATATAATGCCAATTTAATAATTTCAAGAACTAGTTTGTTTAAAATATTAATTTTAGGGATTAATGAAAAAGAAATTTCTTTTCTCTTGAAGTTTTAAAAGAAAAAATCTTATTTTTAATTTACATGACCAATGTTTCTATTAAACTATTAAAACTAATTGTTTGTACCCAAAAGTACTCAACATGACCACACCCAACAAATCAAGCAGTAGCCAAGTTGGGAACAGTACCAGGCGCTCAGTAGCACCCACTGCATATGAGAATTGCTGATCAGCATATTATATGTCTCACTAACTCACCGTCTCACCGACTCAACGGCACACTGACCGGCCAATGCAGTCAGCACATTTTGCAGTGTCTGCCAAGCCAATTACACAAACTGCTGCCATAATCAAAACTCCCTGACCTACCTACCTACTTTAGAATATAGCGCACTTCACTAATCATTACACTAAACTTTCGTCTTCCAAGTAGTATATAAACATGTACCAAATGAAGAATAAATCAGTTATCAACACATCTCATAACTCCGCGGTTCTACTTCCTACCTCTGGGAATAGGGCTCGTAATACACTATCTCCACAAGCAGCTAACTTACGTTAGCTCAACCTCAGCGCAGTTCCGCATCGCCTGTGGGCCGGCATCGCAGTAACCTTCGTTACCATTGCCGCGACGCGATCGTCCTGCCAGCAAAGCGTCCCCGTGCCAGCGACAAGTGCTCATTACCCAATTGTCCCGCGGTGTGACCCGGAAGTGTCTACTTCGGTTAGGCACAAACACTAATGATTATAATTATACCCGTTACTCGTAGAATAAAAGGGTATACTAGATTCGTCGGCAAGTAATATATTTTTGATCAGGATCACTAGCCGAGTCGATCTAGCCATGTGTCTGTCTGTCTGTCCGTCCGTCCGGATGAACGCTGAGATCTCGGAAACTATGTTACGAACTGCTTTTTTCGGTGGCAGTGCCGCTAGCTCAGTCGTTCCTCAGGGCAGAGTACCCCTAATGCCACAGCTCGCAACATAAGTATCGATAACTTCGCGGTCTCACTTTACTAATCTATTGGTCATCACTAAGGACAAAACGGAAAAATGGATTACATTGGTGGCTATCGATGTCCTAGCCAAGCGCTCCCAGCCAACCATGGATGCCCTCAAGATGCTGCAGGGCACCACCCATTCGCAGTCGGCAGGAGCCCCCTCCTCGCGACTACGGCTACGGTTCCATCCCCCCCACTGGGAAAGCTTACTCACACATAGTGGGTATTACAAAGGTTTAATAAATATCGTAAGTACAATCGTTTATATACATGCTTCTCTTGACAGATTTAAGACCGAAACGTGGCCGCTGTCTCGGATATTTCAAAGCAGAGGATTCGTTTTGCTGGAAAAGGGTACAGGCGCCGCGCCACCAGCCATGTATTGGTAGAGCTCGCATGGAAACGCGGCCCTCAAAGGAACATGCGCGATGCGCTTGTGTATGGTCACCTAATCCTGAGGAGCTCCAGGGGAAAAGAAGGGACAGGCCAAAAAGGTACGTAACTGCACTGTAAACTATACCATTTAACTAATGCTCGCGACCTTTTTAATTTTAGGCAAACAACGAGGACAAATAAGGCTCTCGGGTCTAAATCCGGATAAACTCACAAACAGGTAAGTAGATATCAATATATACAATCGAGGTACACGTGTATATAATTTCTCGTAAATTTCAGCCACCGTCGGGCCGGGCCTGGAGGCGATGGTAGCCCGGGCTGATGACTTTCCGCCGGAGGCCAGCAGCGATACGGATCTCCACACGGGAAAACGGCGCTCTCCGGTGAGTGGTGCACGGGCAGTCCGAGATTGGGCTGCCAGACAAAATGGAGATACTTCTCAGCGCCGCAATGCGACCGCTAGAAGTTCCCGAGAGGAGGAGGACGCGGTACGCCGGAACGGACTCACCGGGAAATGTTGACGTCGTCGGCGTCGATTGTGGAAGGCTTTCCTGGCTGGTCGCTGGCACGGGTCGAACGGACACCGGTTGCTGGGCAGCCAAGTCGGGCTGGTAGGTATGGCGAAGTATGGCGATGTCAGTAGAGTCCAAATAAATTCTTCCGGGGCCCTTTGTATTGGGACCCCGGTTGCCTTTATAAATGATAAATATTAAATACCGAACTACTATAGAACTTCCACATAACTCACTATTTAATTTAAGGCACAAAGAAAATTTATACTAGCACTCCTAGCTGCATCTGCCTTGATTGCTGGACAGTATGGCCGCGACTATCACGATATCTGCTGATCATCGCCCCCCGCCATATTACATGGCCTCTCTCGACATTGGGTCATTGGATACATGGGCCATTTGAAGTAATCCCAGAGCGAACCGGGATTAATCTTCAAATGGCCAGATCGCCGCCAGACTCATCCCGCTGCTGCAGCTATCGCCCTATCGACCTAAACTATCGATAACGTCGCTCCCACTCGACTCCAATTGCAGCATCAACCAAAGATTTCGAGGGGCACTGCCCGGAGTTTCAGCAGAACGATGAAATAATTGGTAGCTTTGGAGATACGATGGGTATTGCAGATGTGATCGCGATGCTCGTATACTTTGTTTTGTCCTTTCAGGTCACAACCGGATGTCTTTGGCGTGATACACTCCCAGACTGCGGCCTTGGAGATCCTCCAGCAAGTATGCATTGCTGCCGACGGATTTGACCACCCTGGCTTTAAGGAACTTGCGAGCAAACTTGGAGTTAAAAGGTTTGCTGAAATCACTCAGCACGAAGTTGCGGCGGAAGACTTCTTGGCCTGGCTTGGCGAGCAGAGTTCGGGCTCGCTTATCGTAGCGCTGCCGGCTCGTCTGGTATGCACCCTCCAGTTGCTTCTGCACCTTGGCGTGGATAACCCGAAGCTTGTCCTTGGTCTGTATTCCGGCCATTTCATGGTCGACCAGAGACCTGAGTCGTCTGGCTAGTTTGTAGCTGGAACCGTTGAGGAACATGTGATGGCCGAATACAGTGAAGAACGGCGCTTCCCCTGTGGCTGAGTGGACAGTGTTTCGGATGGCCACCTCAATCTCCGGAAAATGTGCATCCCATTCCCGGTGATCTTCGTCCAAGAAGCTGCGAATTGCGGCCAAGACGTTTCGGTTTACCCTCTCCGCGGCATTGCTCTGTGGTGAGTATACGGGAGTCCTCATGTGCTGTACACCGAAGCCATCGATCATCTCCTCAAACGCCTTGTATACGAACTGTTTGCCGTTGTCCGAATGTATCGTCTCAGGCACCCCGAACTTGTAAAATACCTCGTTTACCAGGAAATTTACAACGTTCGACGCCGTCGCCTCCTTCATCGCCTTTAAGAAGGTGTACTTCGAGAAGTGGTCCACCACGATAAATATCCAGGCGTGTCCACTCTTGGACCTCGGATACTTGCCCAGGAAGTCGATGTACAGTTTCTGGAATGGCCTCTCCGTCTCTACCCTTCTTCCGATTCCGACCTGCACCCGGAAGTTAGGCGTTTTGGATTCCTTGCACACCTCGCAACCCCGGAAGTATTCCCGTACCTGGATGGTCATCCCCGGCCAATAGAACTGGCGTCGCAGGATCTCCAAGGTCTTCGTCATCCCACCATGCCCAGCCTTGGGGTCCGAATGAGCACGCTCTACCAAGCTGTGCGTCAGGCTTTGCGGGATCCACAGCTTCCATTCGGATCCCTCCAGTTCCTCGTCCATTTTCGGATTCTTCATGCGCTTGAAGATTAGTCCGCCGTCCACATTGAGGTCCGGTAAGTGCTCCCTGTTGGACTCCACGTCTTGCACTAACTCCGTATAATCCTCCGCAGCAAATTCGGTCGTCTCGAATCCCAGTAACTCCGTTGGATCTATCCGGACTTCCTCTATGATGCGGGACAGAGTGTCGGCGACTACGTTCTCGCTGCCTTTACGATGTTCAATGCTGAAATCGTAGCCCTGCAGCTGGAGAGACCACCTTGCGAGTCGTCCGGATAGATCCTTCATGGTCATCAACCACTTAAGGCTGGCGTGATCGGTAATGCATGTGAAGGGCATCCCTTCCACATACGGTCTGAACTTTCGAATAGCTAGGATGGCCGTCAGACATTCCTTTTCCGTGACCGAGTAGTTAACCTGGTGTTTGTTCATCTTGGCCGAGAAGAACGCGATGGGCTGCTCGTCTCCGTCCTGGTTCCGCTGAAACAATACCGCGCCGACGCCAACGTGGGATGCGTCGCACTGGATGAAGAAATGCTTCTTGAAATCCGCATGAACCAGGACCGGCGCGCTCGTCAAGGCCAACTTCAGGTCATCCACTGCCTGGGTAGCGCTGGGACTTAAGGAAAACTTTGTGTTTCCAGCCTTCTTCAAGGACTCGGAGAGTGGTGCGGCTAGCGTAGCGAAGTTCTTGACGAACCGTCGATACCATCCCGCTGTGCCGAGGAAGGCACGTACTTCCTTCATGGATTTCGGGTAAGGCATCTTCTGGATTGCCGTAACACGTCCAGGATCCATCCGCAGCAGTCCACCTCCGACTATAAACCCTAGGTAAGTCAAAGATTTGAAGCAAAACTTCGACTTCTTTAACCCTATGGTCAATCCGGCTGATTTGAGACTGTGGGCTACCCGACGCAAGTATTTCAGGTGCGTCTGAAAATCTGGAGCCAGGACTAGCAGGTCGTCCAAGTAGACGAAGACGTTGGATCTGAGCTCCGCTGGTATCACCCGATCCATGAGCCGTACCAAGCGTTGTGCCGCGTTGCACAGCCCGAACGGCATCATTTGGAACTGGTACAACGGCCTGCCTGGAACCGTGAACGCAGTGTACTCCTTGCTTTTCTCATCCAGTTCGATCTGCCAAAACGCAAACTTCAGGTCAACGCTGGAGATGTAATGCGTCTGATCTATTCTGGAGAGGATTCCTTCTATACTGGGCAGAGGGTATGCATCCTTGATAGTCAAGGCGTTCAACTTCCGGGCATCCAGGCAGAACCGGTCTTTCCCTGGCTTCGACGCCACTGCTGTGCGACTGCTCCACGGGCTTTTGCTCTCCTCGATGACACCCAGCTCCAACATCTTGTCGATTTCGTCTTCGACCACCTTCTGCTTCGCCGGAGACATCGGATACGGACGATCCTTAAAGACCCGAGCTCCTTCCATCAGCTCGATGGAATGCCTCTCCATGCTGGTGACTCCGAGGCCGTCCCTCTCAAAGGTAAGGAACTCCTCCTTGACCTTGCCTAACGCCAGTTTTTCCTCCGCAGAAAGGCTCCAGGATTCGGGTTCCTCCCTTACCTCGTCCTCATCTTCCTGGTCGGCATAATGCTCCATCTGGCTGGCATGGATTTCCTCCGCTGCCTTGACGCCTCTCGTCGCCGGCTTCCCCACGACGGCTGGAGCTAGTCCGAAGGCTCGCCAGAAGTCGACTCCGAAGTACGCCGTTTGTTCCAGGTATGGGCACAGGTAGAACGTGACCGGCTTACTCACGCCTTTGTACCTCACAGGCAGCTCCAAGCGTCCTATGATGGATCGATCTTCGCCAGAAGCCGTACGGACTACCGAAAAATACGGTTGGACGGTAACTCCCAGCGCTTCCACGAGCTCTCGACAGCCTTTGCCCAGCACACTTACGCTGGCGCCTGTATCCAACAAGCCGGTGAGCTGCTTGCCCAAGGTCTCCACGTCGGCGAAGGGTCTAGGATCGGCGGCATCTATGCGTTTAACGGCCGCAACCACCTCTCGTCGTCTGGATCTCCTCATCCTGAAGCGCTCCCTTGCCTTCTGGACTCTCCGTGAGACTAGACGCATGCCGCTCAGCTGATGCTCCGCAAAGATCCGGTTCCGTGCCTCCATATAACGGCGAAGCCTCTTATCCTCCGGTAGGTATCTTAATAAATACTTATTACTATTAGATGGACTATGTACTTTCTTATCTTCTTCTTCTTTCTTCGGAACTACTTCGCGGGATTCCAACCTGGGCGAGTCCCTCCCGCTTTCGGGCTGCCCAGCCGACCGTTTTCCGCGCAATCGGGACATTTTGGAGATATCACGCCCAGCTTGCCGCACCGGAAACAAAATCTCCTCCACTCCGTGGCTTCGCAATCTTGGAATCCGTGCTCCGCAGCCCCGCAATTCCAGCAACCTGGCCTAAATGGATTTCGGACTCGCCCGCGTAGCTCGACCACCTCCAGGTGTCGCTGCTCGTCGACTTCGTCCTTCGTCGGCCTCGCTGACCCGTACCTTGTTCTGCTGGAGATAAGCAGCACGCCCTCGACGACCGAAACTCCTCTCCACTTCGACGCACTCTTCCCGAAGTTCGTCTACCGTGAGTACGTCCATCGCGTAAACATATCTAGCGATACCGTCCCTCAATCCCTTTTTGATCACCTTCACCAACTGCCGCTCTGGCATTGGTTTTTTTAGGCGTGAGGCGAGTTGCTGCATCGCATGGATGTAGTCATCCGCGCTCTCTCCCGGCTGTTGCTCACGTTGAAGAAGCTCGTGCATCCTTTCGTGTTCCGTCTGGTGGCCACGGAACCGATCCATCAGAGCCCTGCGCAGCTGGTCCCAAGTGTCCACTCTGGACTGGCGTACATGTACCCAGTACCACTACTTCGCTCTGCCCGATAAGAGAACGTGGAAGTTGCGCAGAACTTCACTCCACGGATATTGATGCTGCCCCTGCAGGAACTCCAGACGGAACACGAAGTCGTCCACGGAATGGCCATCGTCCTCGCCGCCGAATGAGAGGTTCCAGCAGTCTACTCGGATGTAGCGGTTTCCGGTGCCGGCTCCCGCGTTGGCGTATAACCGCGGCTCGTCCCGAAAATCCGCCGTCCTTCGGTCCTCGATGCGCCATGGCCGTGCGTGGCGATCGCTCCTGCCTGCCGGATGATACTCCGGTTCCTGGCTCAGGCTGCTGTCGATCCCTGGCGAGTCATTTACCGGCAGTCGAGGTCGCTGCCTGGGCGGCAATTCCGACGGCCTTCGGTAGCATCCTCCTGTATCCTGCCGCTGCTGAATCCCCGCTGGGCCATTTGCGCCGCCTTCTGGATACGACGGGGTGGGCACCATCGACACTTGGCGACTCGCGCCCTCCTGAAGCGGCTGCGGTTTGCTCTCGGCTGGCCTCAGGACGTCGTTCAACAACTTCATCATGTCGATGAATCCGTTCTTTATTTCTTCCCGCAACGCCTGGCTCACTCCTAACTCCTGTGATGCGCGATAGGTTTGGGCAGCCTGTGCCAGAGCTGCGTTCATCGCCGACTCCGCCGACGTATCCCGTTCCGTGTTCAGCTTTTGTGGTGCCGTCTGCTCCGGAACCAGAAGTCGATCCTGCGTCTCGACGATTGCCTTGAAATCCAGGACCCTGGGCGACCGATGGTGCTCCAGATCCGGTTGATCCCGCACTACCGCCTACCGGCGTTCTGGGTAAGCCCCCAGCCAGCGATATCCGCGGCAACCCAGCAGCACCCTCTACATCCGTGGACCAGACATCGTCCTTGTCGTCGCCAGGAGGACCCATCGACCTAAGCTGGTGGCCGTGCCTATCCCTGACGTCCTTACCCTCGGACATACTTCCCAAGAAATTTTGAATAAATACTTAATAGCTACTAATACGATAATAAATGTGATAAATAAATAAATAAATAAGACAACAAATAAATACAATAATAAATAATATAATAAATATCAAAATAAATACGAAAATATCTATTAGCAAAAATAAATAACAATAAACAAATCTTCCTCACTTTCCAACACCTTTCAAAATCTCCTAAATTTTTTAAATATTTTTTTCTTCCTACTACTCTTGACTTGGGGAGATGGAACTGACCCTCGCCGGTGGGCTTCCGACCTAACTGTCTTGGGCTTCTTCAAAAATCCTATTTTCCCGTCTCCGCCTAGCCGTTCGTCAACTGGACTAGCTATCACTTGAGGTGATAGCTGCCAGTTAAGGACATCGGCTGGTTTGGCTCCTGTTGGCTTTTCTTTCCCGCCCTTTTTTTCTATTTTAAGTCGAGGCAACCGTGCAGCGCGTAGGGTTGCTACGGGTCACGATTACGCAATTAAGTTTACAGCCGACATAAAATTAGAAATCGAGGACGGGGAGAAAAACCCAGGAACCCAACATCCTAACAAAAAAACATTTCAAATAAATAAATAACAAAATACAAGCTTTAAAACTACTCTATCACAGAAATTATCACAGATTCTCTTCAGTGCATCGCGTGATGCAAATCTTGGTTTGCCCCAAGATGCCATCACCGGTTCACTGGTAAACCTGTGACCAGGAGCAAATCGTCGGCACTGTCGACGTGCCTCCCGTTCTACTTCCAACTTCCCTACACAGCTGACTTCCCCGTCACCACGCCCTAGCAATTGCAATCTATGTTGCAAGCCATAGGTCGTGATGGCGGGGGCGTCAGGGTCATAAATGGGCGAGACGTCGTCGCCTCGACAATTTATTTTGTTTAAATTGGGCGCCAATATGTTACGAACTGCTTTTTTCGGTGGCAGTGCCGCTAGCTCAGTCGTTCCTCAGGGCAGAGTATCCCTAATGCCACAGCTCGCAACATAAGTATCGATAACTTCGCGGTCTCACTTTACTAATCTATTGGTCATCACTAAGGACAAAAACGTAAACAAAGCAAAAACCTACAAATATTGACGGAAAAATGGATTACATTGGTGGCTATCGATGTCCTAGCCAAGCGCTCCCACCCAACCATGGATGCCCTCAAGATGCTGCAGGGCACCACCCATTAGCGGCAGGAGCCCCCTCCTCGCGACTACGGCTACGGTTGCATCCCCCCCACTGGGAAAGCTTACTCACACAGTGGGTATTACAAAGGTTTAATAAATATCGTAAGTACAATCGTTTATATACATGCTTCTCTTGACAGGTTTATCCTTCCTCAGCCCTTAAGACCGAAACCTGGCCGCCGTCTCGGATATTTACGCGGTCAAAGCAGAGGATTCGTTTTGCTGGAAAAGGGGACAGGCGCCGCGGAAACTATGCTCTACCAGCCATGTATTGGTAGAGCTCGCATGGAAACGCGGCCCTCAAAGGAACATGCGCGATGCGCGTGTGTATGGTCACCTAATCCTGAGGAGCTCCAGGGGAAAAGAAGGGACAGGCCAAAAAGGTACGTAACTGCACTGTAAACTATACCATTTAACTAATGCTCGCGACCTTTTTAATTTTAGGCAAACAACGAGGACAAATAAGGCTCTCGGGTCTAACTCCGGATAAACTCACTAACAGGTAAGTAGATATCAATATATACAATCGAGGTACACGTGTATATAATTTCTCGTAAATTTGAGCCACCGTCGGGCCGGGCCTGGAGGCGATGGGAGCCCGGGCTGATGACTTTCCGCCGGAGGCCAGCAGCGATACGGATCTCCACACGGGAAAATGGCGCTCTCCGGTGAGTGGTGCACGGGCAGTCCGAGATTCGGCTGCCAGACAAAATGGAGATACTTCTCAGCGCCGCAATGCGACCGCTGGAAGTTCCCGAGAGGAGGAGGACGCGGTACGCCGGAACGGACTCACCGGGAAATGTTGACGTCGTCGGCGTCGATTGTGGAAGGCTTTCCTGGCTGGTCGCTGGCACGGGTCGAACGGACACCGGTTGCTGGGCAGCCAAGTCGGGCTGGTAGGTATGGCGATGTTAGTAGAGTCCAAATAAATTCTTCCGGGGCCCTTTGTGTTGGGACCCCGGGCCTTTATAAATGATAAATATTAAATACCGAACTACTGTAGAACTTCCACATAACTCACTATTTAATTTAAGGCACAAAGAAAATTTATACTAGCACTCCTAGCTGCATCTGCCTTGATTGCTGGACAGTATGGCCGCGACTATCACGATATCTGCTGATCATCGCCCCCCCGCCATATTACATGGCCTCTCTCGACATTGGGTCATTGGATACATGGGCCATTTGAAGTAATCCCAGAGCGAACCGGGATTAATCTTCAAATGGCCAGATCGCCCGCCAGACTCATCCCGCTGCTGCAGCTATCGCCCTATCGACCTAAACTATCGATAACGTCGCTCCCACTTGACTCCAATTGCACCAACTATAAGAGCTAGGCTATTGAGATTTGGCATGCAGATTCCTGAGCTTCTTACGCAGCGCAAGTTTGTTTCAGCAATGTGCCATGCCCACTCTAACGCCCACAAACCGCCCAAAAATGTGGCTCCTACAGTTTTGTTGCTAGAATAAAAATTTTAACTGAAATGTATTGTCCTCATCAATACCTATCGATTAACCCCAATTTGCCACGCCCACTTTAACGCCCACAAGCTTCAAAAAATCGTAAATATGAACGCGAATATCTCAGAAACTATAGAAGATAAGGAATTGGGATTTTAGATTCAGATTCCGTATCCTTGTACGCAGTACAAGTTTGCAACGCGAAGATGCCACGCCCACTTTAACGCCCACAAACCGCCCAAGTCTATGTAGCCCACAATTTTTATGCTAGATACAAAATTTTAAGTGAAATGTATTAGTCTTGTTAATACCTAGCGAATGATCAAAAAAAAAAGTTTTCCACGCTCACTCTAACGTCCACAAACCGCCTAAGCCCGTGGCGCCAACATGCTAGAAAATAATGTTAATTGAAATGTATTAGTCTCGTCAATACCTATCGATTGACCCCAAAAAAAATTTCCCACGCCCACTCTAACGCCCATAACGCTTAAATCTGTCTACCGCCGATATGTGACGCATTTTAATCTCGCTTTGCTGCTGGCATATCTCCATTTCCCTTTGGTCCCATTAGCTGACAGACAGACAGACGGACAGCCGGGCATGGCTAGATCGACTCGGCTAGTGATCCTGATCAAGAATATATATACTTTATGGGGTCGGAAACGCTTCCTTCTGCCTGTTACATACTTTCCGACGAATCTAGTATATCCTTTTACTCTTTTTCTTTCGCTTGACTCTGACAGACCCGCCGGGCAATTCGCCAGCGTGTGTGGTCTTGACTTAGCCGTGTGGTGCCTTCCGGACCTCAGCCACTTGTGTCTCAATTCGGAGATTCCTGGTGTCCCAATCCCGAACGTCTCGACGTGGCGATGCTTCCGGCCATCTGTTGCTGCTGTTGCTAAGATTTGTGGGGAGTTATTCAACTCCTCACATTAATAATAACAAAATCTCTCGGGTTTTAGCGTTATGGGCTATTCAGTGAGCGTGGCTCCGCGCTGAAACAAACTTGCGCTGCGAAGAAAGAACCTATACGCCAAGTCCCAACATTTTACGGACAAACGGACATGGCTAGATCGACTCGGCCAGTGATGTTGATCAAGAAAATCTATACTTTATGGGGTCGGATTCGCTTCCTTCTACCTGTTACATACTTTCCAACGAATCTAGTATACCCTTTTACTCTACGAGTAACGGGCATAATAAAAGGGCACTGAAAACGGGAACGAAAATAAAAAACAGTATTTTAATCTATCTGTAGTTTTTATATGAGCTAAGACCATTTAAAAATACTAAAAAAAACAAGAAAGGAAGCTAACTTCGGCAAGCCAAAGTTTACATTCCCATATAGGTTGTTCCTTTGCGTTATCGGGAAATTTTCTGGTCAGGCCATTTTTTAATAGTTGTTAAAACAAAAGTGTGTTTTTTGGAATACTTTAACCAATATTCAATGTTATGCTTAAGAAATTTTAAGAGAAGCAGCTGTTGTATCAGCTGTTAAAAGATTCATTCTCAGGCTCTCAAAAATCGACGTAAGGCTAAAACTTTAAAATTTCAAAAAGTGAGAATTTTAAAGCATTTAAAGTGGAGTGAAGTGCTAATGAACTTAAAGGATGGTGGTGTGCACTAAGTGTTTATACAAACATTGAAATGGTGTTGTTCTTTTAATCGAGAGTTAAAGTGAGCGGTCTAGCACAAATGTTTTTTAAAAAACTATTTTTTAAGTTGAGATAAAAAGCGAGTTCATTTCTCATTATAAAAACCGGTTTCCGATACTATTAAAAAATTAATTTTTTCGATTGTAATCTCAAATTTGAAAGTACCCCTTTCTTTGCACTGTTGGCCTAAGATGTGAAGTAGACTTTTATTTAAAATGACTATTAAGGTAAGCAGAAAACACCTAGCGCTAACATTGACCAATTTAACCGAACTTTAGCTGTTGTGTAACGGCGCCTGTAGCAACTGGCGAACCTAGGTTCAGCCTGAAAGCCTACTGTACAGGGTCCGCTTAAACCAAAGCTTGACCTAGTGTGGCCACCTGTGTCGGCTATTCGATATTTCTATAGTTTTGAACAGCTGAGCCAGGGTGGTCTTGAAAAGTTCTAGTTTTGACACCTGTCGGTCGTCATATTATATATATTTCCGACAAGAGCCTCGCTGGTATCCAGCCGATTCCGGTTAAGTTCTTCTTATTTTAACCAGCAAGAGAAACGGACGTGCCCACAGCTCAAAGTTTCATTTTTCAATTAATAGACTAAAAGTCCGAAAGATATATATTTTTGAGTGGCATCCAGTATTCTAAGTGGTGTTTAGCACTCAGTGTGGCTGCCAGCTATAAAAGCTAGCCAGCGAATAAAGCTTAAAGTAAGTGCAAGTGCATTTGTTTAGAAATTGGGGCGTTTTAACCTCCAACAAATGTACACTACAGGTATTTTTTAAAATTCCGGGTGGAAAACCCAGCCAGTGCTGCCACAAGTTGCCGCCAAAGGCGCATTTTGTTGATTCGGCCAATTTACTGGAGGATTTACCACCTTAAGAAGGCCAAAATCAAATCTCGGGACCCAATCGTCAGGTATGTTTTTTTTGGGACCCATATTTTGGCATATCTGTAATTAATTTAAATGCCTAATCGTCAGGTTGGCCCGCGAGGAATGATTTGGAGAGATTGTCTACCTATCTACGGGTCATGTAGTGCCGGCCAGAGCAGTTTATATAAGGAGGACCCGATGGCAATTTAATTCAATTATATAACCTGTCCCGATGCCCATCATGCCGCGCATCCGTACACCAGCCGAGTTTTGAGGGGTGCGCGTATCCGTCTTGGTGGTTCCCGAGTGGAATATCGCTGCCGCAGATTTAGGGATTTATACCCGTTTATGTTGCAAAAGCGCCGCGTGTGTGAACGGCCTTAACCTAGCGTGGCACCCTAGCCAACCGTGTTTAACCTTAATGGAAATAAAACTCTCTTTCGTATTGGATCAGTCCTAACCCTATTATATAACCAACGCGCTTTGAGAAACCGAATTTAAGAATTAATGTGAAAAGAAAATCAATGAAATCAAAGATATGCAAACCATAAAGCAAACAATAATTTTTCGTAAAGCCTCAAGTGGCAACGGCATGTAAAGCGATAGCTATGTTTAACAAATTTAAAGAAATTACCCAGTCACTCGGGTTAAAAGAGACAATGCACGCCGAGAAGCATTAATTTAATTTAAGAAGAGCTAGATTTTTTTTATTTAGTTTTAAATGGAAAATTTGTTATTGTAAAGCTTTCAAGGAAGCACGATGAATTAGATACGGGTTACAAGTTTAGTTTAAATCGTTCGCGCGTCTAAGAGAAATGAGAGAAATGTTTATTTGCCCTTGAAATTCTACATGGCGAGAAACATCGCTACCCTTTAGATTACAGCCAACCCATCCCGTCCGGAGATCGATCTTCAACGTTGGAGGAAATGCCGTGAGTCACTCTAACTAATCACTTATATATACTACTTTATTCACATTTCTCGCCGATCCGTAAAGTGAACGAAACTAATTTGAACATAAACCCCGATCTAAAAACAATTAATTAATTAAAATACCTTGAGTTATTTGCATTCTCTATGAATTAATTTGCGATTTTCAAAAGAAGTTGAATAAATAACGATCGCCTACTATTAAATCTCTGGCTCTCAACGTGTGGGGCCTTAGTGAGTAGAGTAATCACTCATTAAGACTCACCGGTAATTAAATTCGAATTCTTTTCTATACTTCTTTAATTTCAACTTTTATTTTATTCACTTCTACAAAATACCTTTCTTTGATCTTTAAATCTTTTGGAAAACAAAGACAAAGAACATTAGTTTTCTTTCTGGTCAAAATTAATAATCAGAGTTAGGATTTTTCTTTACTTAGTTAGTGGTGTTTAGAAAACTCAGTCCGAGGAAAATGCAGAAAGTATCCAACTACGATAGATCTTCTGACCCTTTCTGATTTGCTACATCATTACCTTAACCACACTTTGCAAATTAAAAGGTTTCTATAGGCTCAAGCGTTTTGGAAAATAGGTACAACTTCAAGTGGTACACTATGAGTGGTACACTAAGACCTGCAGAAATTTTAATTTCGTTTAGCCTAAGAGCGATTACATTTTTTTTTATTAGTGAAGCAGGAATACAACAGTATTAGTTCTCGAACTATACTCTGTCCGCAATGCACTTTAAAAAATCTAACCGTCTCCCTACATGGATTTAGTTTTATAGAGAAAACGAGAAGTCCGATTAATCTGTCTCTTATTATTTTCCCGAGAAAGTTTAGCAGTTAAAAAAAATAATAATTTAGTTATCCTACGATACGGGAAACATCAAGCAAAAGTTCACTTTTACTAATTTTTTTGGTTTATATATCGAGAAGATATTAGTTTTATATCTACTACCTTGAATTCTCTTTGGTTTTTGTGATTTTTTTAAATTTAATTATTTCGATCCCCAGGAAAAGGCTCTCAGGAAGCCACCAAGCCTGTCTGTCCGATATGCAAGTCCGAAATTAAATCATCTTCCGAACTTTTCGAAACCATATGCCGTCACGAGTTTCATAAGAGGTGCATTGATGCGCATTTCAAGAAAAGCGACTTGTGTCCAGTATGCAAAGTTTCTTGCAGGCCAGTGGTCGAAAAGTGTTTACAAACTCGGTTTCAATCTAAAGGTCGCCAACAAGGAATTAGCGATAATACCCCGGGTCCATCTGGAAGCGCTCAGAGCAACAACAATAGCGTTACTGATCAAGCAACCGCAATAAACACGGTCACAATGGTGTCCATGGAGCGAAGGCTGTTTTCTCTTCCTTCAGAGAAAATGACCGATTTAATCCAGAATTCAGTAGAAGAAAGTGTACAGA